TTCAAATCCTACTTCAACTATTATATTTCATAACAAAGTAAATATTAAACATAAAGGAGATAAGAAAACATAACATCTTCAAATTTCCAGAAAACCTCTCTGACTTTATTTTGTTCTTCAAATTCTTGTTCTTCTTCTTTGAACCTCCATACATAACCTTCAAATAGTCCACAACTTTCAACTCTGACATCATATTACTCTCATTTTCATTTCCCAATTTTTCTCTCATGTCTTCATCCCATATGAACAAATTACATATGTTTCATCACTCCTCCAAAATAGATATCTCCAACAAAAAAAAAACTTCTTTTATTTTGTCCCTTCTTGCATTGGTACGAAACCATATGACTGTCACAACAACAAAATTTTCTAGATCGAGATTTTACAGTGGAAGAAGACATAGTAACACCTTTGGATGAGTTTGTATTCAAATGCGGCATTGAAATGAAACTAGACAATAACAATGAGTGTAGGTATTGTTGTCTTCTTTCTGACGATGTCGACGGCGTTGGTGTTAGGGTTGTTTCTTTTATCAGTGGAAAATGGGTACTTAGTATTAAATATATATAAAAAAGCGCCAGTGTGTAACAACGGTTTTACAAAAGAGCCGTGGTGATATCCCTATTATTTTTTAATTAAATATAAATATAATTGAAAAGACGTGCATTAACGTAAAAGGGATAATTATTTGAGAGAGATGGAGATCGATCTGGAAAGCATGAATGTATCACCACGATTAGGAAATTAACTGTAATTATAATCTTAAAATTTTTAATTAAAAAATATAAATAAAAAATTACCACACGAGTATAAAAGTGTCACCACAGTTTTAGGACGAACCGCAATAATTTTAACATTATTATTTATGTATTATGTAGTAGTGATATAACTTGTTAAATAATTATCGACTGTGGTACACATGAACATACATATTTACACACAAAACGAAACCAGTTTAGATCATTGCACTCAGAGTTACATGTCATTCAAAAGCATGCTGTTAAAGCTATTAAGTTTAGAAGCAATATAAGCCTGTGCTCCAAGTAGCATACTATGTTCAAGATACTTAAAAACGAACCACTTCGTTATAATTAATGTACACATTACAATCAGATCATTTTTTGATCAGCCACTGAAAGCAGCAATGTCCATGTTGGAGTTGTTGACTTGAGATAATAAATATGAATATCATATCTAATTATCTTTTCACATACTTATATTTATGTACTCTTGAGGCACAATTAAATGTGTTTTTCTTTAAATAAGTAGTTTATATCATATATCTTATTAGTACAATCGAATTATTACGGTGGTATGTTTATGACATAAAAACAACTATGTATTTAGTTTTTTAATATAAATCTTGCGGGTACACTTATTTGCACGATAAAAATAATTTAATAATTATTTAATTATTAAATAACTAAATAAATATACAATTTTGATATTATGTTATGACTCAAGAAAAGAACGGACTCACAAGTGACGGGCCTAAAAGAATTGTTGGGCAACCTATTAAATGCATTGATTATGTCATGAAGAAATGAAGTCTTCTAGAAGTCTGTTAAGTATTACTAGAAGCGAAGTCTCTCAATTGGTTGGAATGTGTGCTACAACATCTGCAAATGATCACATTAATTAGCTTGCACAACAAATTTTCTTTTTGCTTATCAATTTAGAAGAAATATGTGAATTTTTTCGGTACATGTTACATTTGTGAAACGAAAATCTCACAATACGACAGTTCAAAATAAAATTTTAAAATATTATATACAGAGAAGTTCACGTCATTTGAAATGGCGTAAATGTGAGACTTTTTATATAGTATGTCTTTGTTCCGTATGTATATTGTACAAAGGATTTTACCTTTGCGTCATTTCAAATGACGTGAATCCCTCTGTGCGTGGCATTTTGGAATTTTATTTTCAGGCCGGTATTGTGGGATTTTCGTTTCAGAAATGTGGCATGTACAGAAAAAATTTGAAATATGTTACCAGTCGAAAGAACATACTCAGAATTCAGTTCATTCGTTCGTTCCAACATCGGCGGCAGATAACAATCGTCAACCACGACTCAAGCTAGATGTGTCATATTTTAACAGTGGCGACGTGCATGGATGGATCTTCAAGATTTCACTGTTTGTTCTTACCACCAAATGCCACAGAAAGATCGAGTCACCATAGTGTCCTTTCATCTTGATGGTCCACCTCTAGCCTGGTATTAATTAATGTATCGAAACTCTTAGATTGTCTATTGGAACCAATTCCCCATTGCACTTGAAACGTGATTTTCTTCGACTGCATGAGACGATCTGCGAGGTAACCTCTTCACGCTCACTCAATCAAGATCTGTAGTTGAATACCTCACTGAGTTTGAAGCATTGGTTAATCGAATTATGGGCTTGTCACCCATGGATCTGATGAGTTATTTTATTCCGGGTATCAAGATAGAGATACGAAGACAAGTTATAGCACAACAACCCAGCTCGATGGCACGAGCAGCAGGGTTAGCTTGCCTTCATTAAGATAAGTTACATGATCAAATTAAGGCTTCTCGACCAAAATCGCTCCCGAATCAGGGTTGTCATTAAGACCACCGCGAAAACCCCAATTTTGATGCTTATCTGCACCTGAGCTGGTTGAGAGACGTGAAAAAGGGCTTTACTTCAACTGGGATCAGAAGTGGTTATGACAACATCACTTCGGAGGACGAGTATTTTTGTTGTTGGTTGAAGATGAGGAATATGAAATGGACTAAGGCCGATTGGAATCTATTGATATTATTCACACCACCTCTGATGAATCACCACAAGCCCAATTGAGTCTTCATACTCTACTTGGGTCACAAGTCACATACACAATGCACCTCGTAACCTTGTAAAACATTACATGAAATTTCGAAAATACATTTTCGAACGCATCCTACACATATATAATTTATTCGTTTTTAAGATACGCTTCATTTTACGACTAAATTCATTTCAAAAATGCATTTTCGAAATGACTCCGAATATACATTTTTGGATCCTTACTGCTTTAAATGGGAATGAAACCACCTGATAAATCCAACACCCACTTGTTCTTTCTTAGAGATTTCCTCGTTACTTCCAAAAGTTACTTGCATAACTCTTGAAGTCACAAGATTTTAAATAAATGGTTTAAGTAACAAAAATTGTCAAATGAGAGACACATAATCAATTATACTTAAATAATGGCATATCAAAATCAATTTTATTCATTGGACTACTATTCAAATTACATTCCATTGAATATAGATGTCCCATTTAGAGCAGTAGGATCTAAAAATATATTTTCAGAGACATTTTAAAAATGCGTTTTCGGAATAAGTTTAATCGTAAAATAAGAAGCATCTCAAAAACAAATGAAATATATGTGTGGAGAGCATTCAAAAATAGATTTTTGAAAATTGAAGGACATTTTCGAAATTTCGTAAGGTCTTTTTCAATCATATAGGGTTCCTTAAGAAATGCTCTTAAGATTATTAGGCCAAATCATGAAGCATTTAGTCTATATTATAGTAGATGGCGAAGTACCCACAACTTTATCCAATCTAGTGTCACTGCTAAGCTAGGCCTTCAACACAGCCAAACCGAAGCACTCAGGGTTATGATTGGAAGTGGGCAAGCGCTAAAATGCACACATGTCTACTTGGGGGTGAAAATGCAAATTCAGGGTATTCGGTTTACTATGGAACTGTATGTAATAGGCCTAAGGGAGCATAAGTGGTTTTAGGAGCCCAAGGACTTAAGATGCTAGGCCCAACTCTGATGGATTACTAAACTCTCACAATGAAATTTTTCAGAAAAAGAGTAGCAAAAATTAATACTCTTTTTACTCAAAATTTATGATCCAAACCATGAACTTCTGATCCTCCCCTTGACACCTCACCCAATCCCCAAAATACACTAATTACTCCATCAGTTTGATCACCTCTTCACTGAACCCATATATTTACCCCCATCAAGGCTCACTGATCATCATATAAACATTACCTCTAATGCTACCGCAGTCAATATGCGACCCTACTGATACCCACATGCACATAAAACTTAGGTTGAACAATAAGTTGTAAAACTGCTAATCACCGGTTGGATTCAACCAAGCACGAGTCCATTTTCTTCCCTGGCATTACTCCTAAAGAAGAAGGATGGTTCTTGTCATATGTGTGTGGACTATACACCCTCAATACCATTCGAAAATGTGTTTTCCATTATGTATTGATGTCCAACCCCACAATGGAAGTTCACTTAAAAAATTTGGAGCAAGTTTTCCAAATTTTATTCCACCATCAGTTTCATTTGAAGGGTTCCAAATGTTCATTTTTCCAACCTCATATATCATACTTGGGCCATAGTTTTAAGGCATACTATGAGTCAACGGATCCATTGAAGATTCAAGCAGTGGTTAATTGGCCTTCTCCTAAAACCGTTAAGGAATTGAAAGGATATTTAAGGTTTTCTAGTTTCTACAAGAGGTTTGTTCGTGGTTACGCATCATTGGCTCTTCCTTTGACAAATATCTTAGGAAATATGCACTCAACTGGTCAAACGAAGAACAACTGTCTTTTGAAGAATTGAAACGAGCTTTAGCAACAACCCCTGTTTTGATTCTACCAAACTTCAAGGAACCATTTATAGTTCAAATTAATGTGTTAGGAAGTGATTTAGAACCCTAACAAATTTAGAACAATATAAACTTTCACACTAAGAAACTAGATAGGAAAAAGATAAAAGATAAAATATAATATTCATTGATTATCCCAAATGTCTCAAAGACATTATATAATGTTACTAGTGGATAATAAATTAAAAGGCGCAAAAAGTTATTAAGAGCCCAAAATATTTTAAGAATATTGTAAAAGACATAATTATATAAAATAACTCCTAATACATCAAAATACTAGTAATACTCATTTAACTAATAATAAATTATTCTACTAAGCTCCCTATCATTTCCTCCGGGTTCACTTGAACCTTGTCCTCAAGGTTCTAAAATTACTCCTGAATCATTTTGCTTAAATTGAACAATCATAACTGTTGCATTCAAATTACCAAGTCCACCAACGTTAAACATGTTCACAAACCCAATAGAAGCAAACTTGTGTCCACTGCCCAAAACCTTAATATGTGCAATAGAAAATACCTCATGTTCCAACACCCTGAGAGGCAAAGACATTTCAAGATTAGCACCAAAATTTTGTAGCATTCACCATATATAAGGAGTACCATAAAACTGAGAGGAAGTTTTCTAAATTGGTTTTACTTCAGTAAATAGATCAAGAACAATCATTTTCCCAATTGAAAAAAATTGTAAAAGTGATTTCATTTGAAGTGACTTCAAAAATGATGAATCAGAGTAGAAGAGCCAGCCTTGCATCAACCACACATCATCTTCGTAACCCTTGGTAATGCCTTAATATACTATAGTATAGTTTGAATGTGTTTCAGTGTGAGTGTTCTTCATATAGTTTTCAATCCTGAAGAATTCCTCAGTACTGAAATCAATTGGCACTAGTTCACAGTTAAGGCGTTGATAATGAGCATACAGGGGATCTCCCTCCATTTCAGCATCATCTTTCAATAGCTTGGTGGCAACCTCAATTTTAGCAAGAGCTCCAACCATTTCTAATTTGTGTTTTAACTTCTGAGGGGTGTCAATTACAAACTCACGCGTTTTTTTTAAATCCAAATTCATGAGGGATTACGCTGTAGAACTCTCCACTTAATTACTATAGAGATTTCCTATCGAATTTGTCATCCACATGAGCAAGTCTTTTAAGAATATTGTAGCCCTTCAAAATTATTGCTTTGCTAAGTTTTCCTAGAGGCAACTTGTTTGATTATTGCTTTGCTAAGTTTTCCTAGAGGCAACTTGTTTGTGTTGTACCCTATTTCGATCATTTGATGATTCATCATGCTCAAATTTCACACAAGGGAAATAAATTTTGCAATACGTGGCTCAAGTTTTGATTCTAGAGGCTTCTTTCTCAAAGCATGAACAAGACGTTTTGTAACTGCATATTCCTTTTTCCTGCCGATGCAATCCATTTCCAGCCAAACATAACTTCTTGGATGGGAAACAAAATTGTTTCTATCACACCAAGCATTCCTCATTTTCGCTAAGAAGTTTTGTTCAAACTCTTGGATTGCACTTTCACGTGAAGTGTAAGGGTCGTGTATCTTGTCTTGGCCCTTTATGCCAACTCTTCCCCGTCTATTATAAACAAGGAACTTACCACCATCGTCAAATTCAAGAACTTGAATGACATAGAGCTTATTATTGTTCCCAACATTTGTCTGATTCAACACAACATCATAGATTTCACCACCCAGTTCAAGAACATGATACTGTATTTTTATGTGATCCAGAAGCCATTGATCAAGAACAATCGCACCCTTCTTGGTTGTACTCACTATCTTTTCCACCTATATTACCTCCTCCTCAACATCTTTTGCATCTTCAAGCCCCATATCTGAAGCTTCATTTGCACCCTTTGTTTTGGTTATTCCCATAGCAATCTCTATGTCAGCAAGCTCAAATGCAGGGGCATCATTCACACCATCAATTCATGTTTTTTCAGCACCAAGGAAAAGGAATGTATGCTCAGGTAGGGTACCCCCGATGAGCTTCAAGGCTGCTACAATTTTAGCTAGAACAAAAATAGTGTCTCTTCGACAGAGATGGGCTAAAGGGATAAATGTTTCCTCCTTCTCCCTCTTCAACGCTTCCTCTCTCATAATATCAGCATAAGTCCTCGTAGAAGAATCAGACGTCTTCTCACCCGCTGCAAATTCATCATGTTTATCCGGAAAAATAAGTTGATTCAACCTACGTCTCTAGTACTCATCCTCCCTATCAATAATCCTCTGCGGCTTACGAAATCCAATACCTCCATCAACACTGTCATTGTCAGTGTCGATGGACATCATGTCGATGAAATGAGATTTCGCCCAGTGATTGAAGCTATTCTACAAGGAGCTTCATTAGTAACGGGTTCAAGAATTTCCTCATCTACGTTAGCGGGAATTGAAGTGTTGTATAAATCTTTATCGCATGCACCATAAAGATCCATGTCAAAGTTGAAATAAGTGAGAGATGCAAGTCGTTGTTACAGGTTTTGCCGCTTATCTTGCGTCTTCATAATCTCTTCGTTGTTCGACACCATGATTAGGATTTGGGTTTGATTTTAAAACCATAGATGTGTGTTTCGAGAAGGTGAAGAAGATTGATTTCGAGATTTTTTTTTCTTCGTTTTCTTCAATGGCTCTGAAGCCGCTGCAGATTTAGGATAAGTCATTTGTGTCCATGGTGTTAGGGATATGGTAGATTGTGTGTGAGGTTTTTGAGAGAATTAAGAGATTTGGGGATTTTTTAGGAGTGCTTTTGATGATTTTTTGAAACAGGAATGTGACACGTGCAAATGTTTTTCAAAATTTCTTCTAATTATGGAGGAGGTTTTTGGTGGTTGTAGTTGTTGATGATAATTATTGTAGTAAGATGAATAATGATATGATGAATAGGATGAATATGGGTTAGGTGGAGGTGGTGTATACCCATGATTAAAATACAAACATGGGGTTGTAACATGTGGATTTGTGGAATAAGATGAGAAAATTTCTCATGGAAAAGATGGAAATGAGAGATTGATGGGAGATGTAAGAGAGGGGGTTGTGGGATAGGTTGGAGTAATACTCTATGCATTATATTAAGGTGTATGATAAGGATAATCTATAGGAGGATATGCCATGTAAGGAAGGATTGAAGTTCAAGATGAAAGCACCAATATTAAGAAGTGATTTAGAATCCTAACAAACTTAGAACAATATAAACTTCCACACTAAGAAACTAGATAGGAAAAAAATAAAATTAAAGATTCATTGATTTCATTCATACCCTAAGTGTCTCAAAGACGCTACATTATATAATGTTACTAGTGGATAATAAGCTAAAAGACCCAAAAGCTATTAAGAGCCCAAAATATCCTAAGAATATTCTAGAAGACATAATTATATAAAATAACCCCTAATACATCAAAATACTAATAATACTCATTTAACTAATAATAAATTATTCTACTAAGCTCCATATCATTAGTATCCTAACAAACATAGAACAATATAAACTTATACACTAAGAAACTAGATAGGAAAAAGATAAAATAAAATATTCATTAATTTCAATCATATCTCAAGTGTCTCAAAGACACTACAAATATAATGTTACTAGTGGATAATAAGCTAAAAGGCCCAAAAGCTATTAAGAACCCAAAATATCCTAAGAATATTCTAGAAGACACAATTATATAAAATAACTCCTTATACATCAAAATACTAATAATACTCATTTAACTAATAATAAATTATTCTACTAAGCTCCCTACCATAATGCTTCATGCAAGGCAATATGGGTAGTGCTACTACAGGGAGATCACCCTATTGAATATTTTGTTAAGGTTTTTTCCCCTCATATGGAAAAGGCATCCACTTATTCGAGAGAATTTCATGCATTGACTGGTGCGGTTAAGCGATGGAGGCAATATTTGTTAGAGAATTTCTTAATCATTCGAACAGATCATAAGAGCCTCAAGAATCACCGCACAAGTTAGCCAAACCCCATAGCAGCAGTTATACCTAACCAAGCTCTTGGAATATCATTATGAGATTTAGTACAAGCACAAAAGGAACAACATAGTGGTTGATTCTTTGTCAAGACCAATTGAACCATGTGATGCCACCAGATTGGCTATGACGGTTTCTTAATTTTTGTTCCTTGATGAATTCCAGAAAAAGCTGGAAAACATGATGACTATAGGAAGCTTCAAGAACAAATTCATGTTGATCTCATAAGTAAACTTAGTTATTAAGTCAATGAAGGTTTGATTGTATATCAAGGAAGAATATGGATCAATCCCAACTCAAGTTTCAATACCCTCTTGAAGAAGGAATTTCATGAGACTTCTACAGGGGGTCATGTTAGTTGTAATGTTCTGTATACTCTTAAGTGCTCTAAATATTGTCACATGGGACCAATAGAGTGATCAATAGACTTATAAGAGATCAAATCTTATTAAAAGTGACTGGCCTTTATTTGTTAGTATAAGAAGGAACATTTCAGTAACATTAATAATTGATCAATTTCTCTAGTAGAGGAAAATTATTCTTGAGAAATATCATTGAGATATTTCCCTTTACCAATTTGTGTTCTCATTCACTCGTTCTTAACCTTTTCTACCAACCATATCTCTTCTTTTTCATTTATCATTTCCTTTTATTCCAACCATGCCATTTTCTTTTCCTTTTCTATCAGTAGAACCAAAAACAAGAATCATAGAAAAGGAGTAGTGACATGAAGAAAGAAACATAGTGAGAAGCAAGGGAGAAAAGGAAAGAAAGAAAAGAAGAGAAATAAGATAGAGTAGGAGAAAAAGAGGAACATGGAAGATCATCATCATCATCTTCATCATCAACACCATGATTTCATCTCATCTTCTTTACCAATCTTCACCTCATCTTCTTTACCAATCTTCATCGTCTTCATCATCCCTAGGTGGATTCCTAGGTAGTTTAGCCCTTGAGAAATTAGGGTTTGTATATTCTTGCTCTAAACATGGTTTTGATCACGATACTATTTTGGTGTTCCTGTGTTGAATCTATGATAATATGCTTGTTTGTTGTTGTGATCTTGTTGTTGAACTTGTTGATCTCAAGGACTTATGTTGAAGCACGGTTTAGAATGAATTGGAATGGTTAAAATTTAGGTAAGTCATGTTTTGATGGAAATAGATTAGAATAAATTAAAGTAAATGCTTGGTTTAGTAAAATTATGCAGGAAAATTGATTTCTCCTGGTGTCAATCGATTCACATCAGCTTACAATCGACTGACTTGTTGAAAATTTGAGAAAAACTGCACTACCTTAAATTTGCGAAAAACCACTTGTTTCATGTTTCTAATGCATCTTATGAGTCCTATAACTTAAACCATTATATATATATATATATATATATATATATATATATATATATATATATATATATATATATATATATATATATATATATATATATATATATATATATATATATATATATATATATATATATATATATATATATATATATATATATATATATATATATATATATATATATATATATATATATATATATATGCATTAGTTTATCATTAATCAATCGAATTACATGAGATCGAGTGGGTTCTAACCTAGAATTCCGATTATGTTAAAACGATTGGAAATTTAGTTTTGTAACTCCATAAAGAACTATAATATAGAGAGATGTCTCTATGAGTTATTCCACTATAACTTTCTCTTCGAGTCCGATTAACCCCACCATAGGATGATTGGATGGACGCTTACCGTGGGGCGTGAAAGGGGAATAAGTTAGATTGAGGTAAAAGTATGACAACCTTTCCTAGGGTTTGTTGCGACATGTTTAACTATTATGTGTGATTTATTTATGTTTATGAATCATATTATAATGAATGTAGGAACTCTATTATGGATCTTTGTTTGTGTTGATTGTGAAATAACACGATTAAAACTTATGATGATAAATGAGGAAACCTATGAGTATAATTAGGTGAATAGATTAGAAAGATAACTTAGGTTATGTAAATGATTTATGTGGTGATGTTTGGATGCAATGGTACCTCAGTGTGCATCACGGACAAGTAGTTACCTGAATGATGAATTGATATGCTTTGTATGGAACATGTGAAAATGTTATGAGAATGGGTGAACATGATCACCTAGTATTTATGAGATAATATGAGAATTAGTGAATGTGATCACCTAGTTATTGATGAGTATAATTACATTGAGAATGATGAACTAGCCATGTATTTGGAAACAACCCCATTGTCGTGCCCATCCCAAATCGAGATACATATGAAAAGTAAAGATTGGGATATAGGCATTATTGCTCCGCATCAACCAAATGGGATAGAGTCCCATAGAAAACGTTGACCTCAAAGTGGGTTAGAGTCCAAGATGAGTAAAAGGATCAAAATGGGTTTGAGTCTTATAGGGAGCGACAATTCCTAAAGTGGGTTCAAGTCCCATGGAGAATATGAAATCTACAAGAAAGTAGAAGCATGATACAAGGATACGTGACTCGTATCGATAATCCTAGACATAGATTTGGCCGTGGGAAAATGCCTTGGTGCGATTTCCTGTTAGTGACTTATTGAGTAGAATGAACTCAAGTTACATGTTTCAATAAAATGAGAGAATCCCCCGATACTTAAGTCTTCATTCCATTTATATGACTTAAGTTAATAATCGATTAGAAACCTTATAGAGCTAAGTGAACTCATAGGTTAGAGGAAATCACATAGATTATCATCTCGCCCCATTATCATTATTGCTTTTAAGGTGTTTATTGCATGTTAAAGATAAAAAAATTAATGTTGTTTCAAAGGTTTCTGAATATCATGATCTTCCGCTGTGGATTATGCATAATTAAGATATTGTACATAGATCTTAGATTTTATTTAGGCATTATTCTATGACATGTACCATACGTTGTAATTTATTTTTTATGGACATGTATATAATGATGTCATTAGACACTTATGTTGTATTAATACCAATTAGCATCAGATATAATGTATTTTCTAGATATATATTATACATGGTGTTACATTGGTGTTATAAATAACCTTAAAATACTTGTTGCAAGCTTATACTAGGCAGATACGAAAGGGGATATGAAACACTTCATAGCTAGTTGTGTTTTTGTCAACAGACTAGTAAAGCACGACCAAACCCGGTGGGTTGCTTCAACTCTTAACCATACCAGAGAATGTTTGGGAGGATATCTTGATGGACTTTGTTACTGGTTTGCCAATTTCAAATGGATACTCTATCAATTTTGTGGTGGTAGATCGTTTCTTTTATTTAGTTCATCTGGGTGCATTTACAGCTTAATTCATTACTTACAATATGGTTTGCAAATTACATGGTATATAAATTACATGATCTCCCAAAGAGCATTGCCTTCGATCATGATTCAGTATGCCTCACAAATTCTAGACAAAGTTATT